CTCCAAACCAAATAAATTAAAAGAAAAAAAGGATTTTAAATATTTTTTTTCTAATTGTACAAACAATTAACTACGTTGAGCATAAATCTCTTTTTACATAATCTAAAATGATGGAACTTTTATTTATTTATTTGTAATTAGAAACTTAAAGAGTCAATTTTCACATTTTAATAAAATTAAAACACACTTGCCTTTTGAGATCTTTTTTTTTTTTGAGAATTTTTAATTTCAAATCATAATTTGTAGTTTTTATTCACGTTTTATAAATAATTACTGATTTTAATTCAAATTTTTAATTTGAGCCCCATTTAACCAAACCTCTACTTAATCATCAATCATTTCTTGTATGTACATTTCTTGTAACTATTTTGTGCAATCTAAAAGGACCTCAAAATTGAGATATTTTGGGTGAAAAAGTAGAATGCTTGTTGGAAAAGAAATAGTTTTTTAAAGGAAGACCAAAACAAAATTCGCTAGTAAGAAAATAAAGTAATTATAAAGTCATTTTCCTAAATGATCTTTCACCAACCACCACCGCCAAATTTTCTTTGATGCCTTTTTTTTCAACTTCACTTCACCTAATCTATCCAAATAGATAAGATAGTCTAATTAACCATGGTTTAGTAAAAGAAATATCACGCATCTATTAACCATGATTTTGAGTTCAAATTCTAAATATATGTAAAAATTATTGATAGAAAAGAAAACACTGTCGTTTTGAATGAATATTTTGTTGCATAACCGAACTAATTGAATTTTAAACAACAATAATCTATTTAGTGAAATCCCACAAGTAAGGTTTCGAAAAATAGAATATACGTAGATCTTACCATTACTATGTGGAGATAGAGGGACTGTTTTCGAAACACCCTCAACTCTAATGCAGCTATTCAAATATAAAGAGAAAAATATACCACGTCACAAAAAACAGTGTTAAGTCTACCAAAAAGGAACAATAATAATAATTAAAAAGTATAGCAATTGAAACACCATAAACAATAAATTTACTACGATAGATTATTGGAAACGATGATATAGTAGAGTTTGGAACTCAACTTTTTCTTGTGTAACGAAAAAATTGTACAATAATATTGAGTCACTTTAGTTTATAAAAAAATTTGTAGTGGGTCACCTTTAATTAAAGACAACATGATCCTTTTGCCGCACCGCAATTAGGAAATTAATGTGTACCATGCTTATTGTAGCTAATTCAATTTTATTGGGTCCATGTCTGTTAAATATTTTGTCATTTTTACTTTCAATTCAATCGACCATTTCATGGTGAAAAAAAAAAGTTACTCGATAAATTACACATTTGAAAACAATAACAATAGCATGCCACAAGTAAACATGCCTAGGTTTCTACATATAATAAGAAAGTTCTCACGAGAATAGTTCATATTTATTTATCTCTAAAACGTATTTCGTGAAAGCTCAACGTACACTTTTAAAATTGTATCTTTCTAACTAGAAGTTTGAGAAGTTTTTGAGACTCATTTTAGTTGTGCTCAAACATTGTTCATTATTTTCTTGAGGACAATTTTACTTAATTATGCCTATACTGATTGCCACGAATAGTTACATTTTTATTAATTGTTTTAAAGGCAATGTTTATTTTCCTAAAATATGTTACATTTGAGAGACAAAAAAAATTAATCATTGCATTCATCCATAAAATACAATGTTACAATTTGGTTCATGAACTATCTTTCAATTAATGTACACATTTTACACAAAAACAACAATAAAAACCTTCAGGCGTCATTGATCAATTGCTAAATGTAAGATAAATATAAACAAATCGTATACTTTTGAATGAATAGGTTAAAAAGACCTGAGCTATCATACTTTCGCGAGTTACGTATCTAAATCTCGTATGTTTCCATAATACCCTGAAGGTTTGAACAATAACTTCTTGTATATTAAAAGCCCCATCGTCACATAACTACATGTGCGTCAAGTACACACCCATTTTACCTAAAAACAATGCCAACTAAATGATGAGGGGGCTTTAATATTGAGAGAATTATTGTTCGAGGGTTAAAATATAGAAATCTCTCCCGTCTCCACCCTTAATCAAAAGCTTAAAATTCAAGATCTGAAAATGAAAAATGCAAGGGGCTAATAATTTCGAGAAAAATATACGAACTATATCATCTATTTTTTTTATTCGGTATCCAATATTCATATTGAAGTCTGACTAATTCAGATTCACACCACGTAAAATCTCATTAAAAAGAAGCGGCTCTCTCCTAATGATTCTTTTACACTCAAAACTCAAACCGAAAACATATGATTAAAAGAGAAACAACTCATTTATCGCACCACATTCTTTATCCCATATATATACAACGAGATGACTAATCTTATAAAATATTTCGATCTGAAATAACTTTTTCTATCCCATCCTCGCTACCAACCAACCAACCAAAATAAATTTAAAAACATCACCCTAATGAAAAATTAAACTAAGCATTTCCAATTTTGAAAAGAAAATATATTCATCCAATCAAAATTTTAGATATTTTTTATTAATCCAATTTGTAGGTCTACCAAACCTCAATTTAATCCAATCAATTTTTCAGATCTGAAACAAATCTTGACCGTCCATTTCCATCAAAGAAGCCTATTTATACCACTCACCTCCGTCCTTTATTCCTTGCAACACTCTTCTTCTTCCCTTAAAACCCAAAGGAAGAAAAGAAAATCGCCTCTTTCTCTGAATTTCATCTCAAATTCACCCATTTTCTCTCAGTTTTTCTCTTATACTCGCCTTACCCATGGCTCTACTTGTTGAGAAGACCACCTCTGGCCGCGAGTACAAGGTGAAGGACATGTCCCAGGCTGACTTCGGCAGGCTCGAAATCGAGCTTGCCGAAGTCGAAATGCCTGGTCTCATGGCTTCCCGTACTGAATTTGGCCCTTCACAGCCCTTCAAAAGGTGCAAAAGATCACTGGATCTCTGCATATGACTATCCAAAACTGCTGTCCTTATTGAAACCCTAACTGCTTTGGGTGCTGAAGTTAGATGGTGTTCTTGCAACATCTTCTCAACTCAGGATCATGCTGCAGCAGCCATTGCACGTGACAGTGCTGCTGTTTTTGCCTGGAAAGGTGAGACTTTGCAGGAGTACTGGTGGTGTACTGAGAGGGCACTTGATTGGGGTCCAGGTGGTGGTCCTGATCTGATTGTTGATGATGGTGGTGATGCTACACTCTTGATTCATGAGGGTGTTAAGGCAGAGGAGGAGTTTGCTAAGAATGGGGCAATCCCAGATCCTACTTCTACTGATAACGTTGAGTTTCAACTTGTGCTTACTATTATTAAGGAGAGTTTAAAGACTGATCCTTTAAGGTACACTAAGATGAAGGAGAGACTTGTTGGTGTTTCTGAGGAAACTACCACTGGTGTTAAGAGGCTTTACCAAATGCAGGCTAATGGAACTTTACTATTCCCTGCTATTAATGTTAATGACTCTGTTACCAAGAGCAAGGTATGTGTGTTTTGCTTTCTGTGATTTTGTTACTTGTGTTTCAGATCTGTGTAGATTTGTTGTGTGAATTACTGTTTGAAATACAGATCTTATAGGAATAGTTGATGATTTTGGATCTAATACAGAGGAATTATACTTGGAACTTAATGATGGGCTGATCTGTATTAGTATTAAGTATAGTATCAGTAATTAGTTGAAATTACATAAGTGAATCTCATTTCTTTTGGTAAGTGGATAAATGAATGTTTTTATCTACTTGCTTCATTACTCATGTGGTTGGTTTGATTGATGGAAGGGATTATTTGCCTTAGTGAACTTTAGTAGCTTAAAGTTCACCAATTGGAAGATTGTAACTTGAATTAGTGAGATGTTTATGTACTAATAGGAACATATTTCATTAGAGCTTTCTTGTTTAAGCTTATAGTAGATGGTTTCTTAAATGTGTGATATTTGGTACAATTTTCCACTACTAATATGCCGATGAATTGCAGTTGTGATTAGGTTAGATATGTCTACTTATATGTCCTATAATTGGCTAATGGAAGTCTGGTTCATTTCGCGAAAAGACTTGATAGCAAGTAAAGATCTTTACCTTAATTGTTGGGGATGCTTGTTGTAGCAGTTCTTGTTTAGATAAGATAATGTTGGCTTGTGGACTGATAGTTGTATTGATTTTTGTTGGTGTTCCAGTTTGACAACTTGTATGGATGCCGCCATTCACTTCCCGATGGTCTCATGAGGGCGACTGATGTTATGATTGCTGGAAAGGTTGCCCTTGTTGCTGGTTATGGAGATGTCGGCAAGGGATGTGCTGCTGCCATGAAACAAGCAGGTGCCCGTGTTATTGTGACTGAGATTGACCCAATCTGTGCTCTCCAGGCTACCATGGAAGGCCTCCAGGTTCTTCCTCTTGAGGATGTTGTTTCTGAGGTTGATATCTTTGTGACCACAACCGGTAACAAGGACATCATCATGGTTGACCACATGAGGAAGATGAAGAACAATGCCATTGTCTGCAACATTGGTCACTTTGACAATGAAATCGACATGCATGGTCTTGAGACCTTCCCTGGTGTGAAGAGGATCACAATCAAGCCTCAAACCGACAGATGGGTTTTCCCAGACAGCAAGAGTGGCATCATTGTCTTGGCCGAAGGTCGTCTCATGAACTTGGGATGTGCCACAGGACACCCCAGTTTTGTGATGTCCTGCTCTTTCACTAACCAAGTCATTGCCCAACTCGAGTTGTGGAATGAGAAGAAAAGTGGCAAATACGAGAAGAAGGTGTATGTTTTGCCAAAGCACCTCGACGAGAAGGTTGCTGCCCTTCATCTTGGAAAGCTTGGAGCCAAGCTTACCAAACTTACCAAGGATCAAGCCGACTACATCAGCGTACCAGTTGAGGGTCCTTACAAGCCTGCTCACTACAGGTACTGAGGGAAGACAATTTGACAGAGGAACAATATTGTCGCGGCATGATTATTTTGCTTTGAATACTTTGAGTTTGTTTAGGATAATAGTGTTTTGATTATTGTTGGGGATATATTTGGGAGGAAGTTGGCATGTTTTGCTGAAAAAAATGGTCTCATTTGAAAGAAGACCAAAATGTTTTAATAATATTTGAGTTATGGTTGGTGGTGTGCTAAGTTACCTCCATTTGCCTTTTGGTTATGATTTTTGTTTCTTGAATTCAAAGCAAACTAGTGACCACCCTATCTTAGGGAAGAGTCCCATATCAACATACGAGTAATGTTGGGTATACAAGTAAAGCCGACCTTGTAGTGACGCACTTTAAACCAACACGGGCCTAAGGCTAAGAGCGAACAATATTACTAGTGGGACTGGAATCTCAAAGTCTCTATTTTGGTGGAAAGGAAATCCCATGGCTACCAACCACCACCAAATTTTCTTTGTTGTCGTTTTAAGCCTAACTTTCACCTGCCAAAATCCAAAGAGATAAGAAAGCAACCATTCAAATTGTCTAATATCCTAACATCAAGTTCAATGTGATAGAGTGCATAAAAATAGTACTATTGAATATGATGTATTAGTTGTATTATTAATGTTGATATTAGTTTGGTTTGGTGCATTAAGAGCAATTTATCTTTTACCATGCTTATTCATCTATTAATTATTCTTGTATTACTAATATCATGATTTGCTATGCGGCTGCCGAAAGTCCTATCAAACAAAAAATGAACACACTATATAAAAATATCTTTTAATTTGACCTCAGTTATATCTATGCCTCCAATTTTCAATATACACAAATAGACATTTAAATTTGTTTTAAGTTAAACAAATATACACGTAATTCAGGTGTATAATTTAACAACAAAAATAATTTGAGGAGACAAATGTGTCCCCACTTCTTTAACTTCATCCTTGCTTCACATTTGAACGTGTCACATTATAATTTGAGATTTACTTTCATTGAAAGGACATTCCAGAGAAATCAGGGAAGCATATTCAAAATTTCTAATTACTTCATTAAGGATATTAAATATCAAAATTTTTGTGTAATTATATAGCTTTAAAATGTCATATAGAAAATTAAAATTTTAAAATTACCAAAAATACAAATTAAAAAGATCTAAATAGGTTATTTAAATTGAAATGAACCAAATTTATCTTTTCTAAAGATTATCATATGGGCACATGAAGATTAATCATGACAGATACTTTAAGTAAAAAATTTCCCAATCATGATTCCACTTCATGAATCACATGCTTAGTGTATAATAAAATAATAAAAGAAGCACTAATCATGAAATGAGACCACAATAATTAGGTGTTAAACAACAATTTTCGAAAAATAAAAATTGCAATGAGCCATACTATATACATACAAGGTTATTCATTTATCTTTTTTAGATCCGCCTATAATATCTGAAAACCCTCTAAATCGATCAACTCAAATTCACATTAAAATATGCCGACTAACATATTCCCTATCAAACGATAGTTCTTTATTAACATAACTTGATTTCAAAACCTCTAAATAAGGATAAAATGATCTCCGTCATTTTATATAGATACATTGTTATTTCACTCAAAAGGTTTAAAAAAAATTCCCATGTGTTACATGTTGATTAGAATGATTAAAAAGTAACGATTAGCATTTTGGGCTAGTAGAATTAGGACACGTTGTTATACTTTTCTTAATTAGACCAATTTGTTGGATTCCACAATTTTTTTTGTAGTACTATATAAACCAATTATGTTGATCTTTGGCATTTCACAATTCCAACACTTTTCAGCAACCTTAAATCCTTAATTCAGGTAATATGATTTTTTAATCATATATAGACATATTTTTTGTTTACATTTTGTTTGTATTCATTATCTTCCTTGTATTCTATCTTTGCATTTCCTTGGATCTTATAAGCTTACTTGCTTTTTTTTTCTTGATGTATGGTCACGGACAATTCTCACTTCATGATCCTGGTTTAGTTATGATAAAATTAGGTCCGATTATTACTAGGAACAAAAGTTTTTTCCATCACGAATCAATCAGAAATTGCGTTATAAAGTATGATTCTTTTTAAATCCATTTTGGACCGAACTAGCTCACTAGGAAAACACATGATTGAAAATAGATTCTTACAGAAATACTGAGAAACTTACTAATATATTCCATGTGAAAATACTACTATTTTTTCTTGATTAAGTCAAAATATCTGTGTGGAAATAGCCACTGAACATTTTTCAGTGAAAAATTTCAATGGAAAAATAGTGATTTTTAGTATTGAATATAATGTTTATTTTACTTGTCATGGATGGTAGCCTTCTCCATTTTTGATTTGCCCAATGTTGGACTCCCATATTATGTTATCCACACGATATATCTAATATATCGACTTCAGAGCGTATGATCGTGTTAATTAGAATATGTTTGTCTTATATGATCTTGAGCAATCCTCGTTTCATGGCAGATATTAATTTTTCCCTTGTTATTGTAAAGCTGCAGAACTTCACTAGGCAAGTTAATTAGTTCAGATGAAAATGTTGAAGAAAAATAGTTCACTTGTTCTTATGACCTGTTTGGTTGTTTTGCTAATTTGTGTGAAATCAAGTCATGAACATTCTCATATAAGGAGAAATTTACTGAGCAACCAAACAGATAGTTATTATGCAGTAATATTTGATGCTGGAAGCAGTGGAAGTAGAGTTCATGTTTTTCGTTTTAGCCAAAATTTGGATTTACTTCCTATTGGTGAATATGGTCTTGAAGTTTTTGATAAGGTATGTACGTTATACTCCGATCTCAAATATTAGTCGTTTTGATAAATTAAATTAACGTATTTCAAATTATTCCGATGTTTTAGAAAAAATAGCGTAGGATTAAATACACAACGAAATATGGATTATATTTAGTTTTTTTTTTTGTTTCTTATGCAGTGTTCGGTATTCCTCCTTCTGAGTGATTAATTTAGATTTGTGTCGGAAAATGCAGGTTAAACCAGGGTTGAGTTCATATGAAAATGATCCAAAGGCAGCTGCCAAATCATTAGAGCCCCTTCTAATAAAAGCTGAAAGTGTTGTTCCAATAAACTTGCACACTGATACACCTGTGGAACTTGGGGTTAGTATCGTAATTTTTACACTTTCAGTATAATTTAATCGATTGTTACAAGCGATTTGGATTTGTTGTACTTAAGCCGAGGATTTTTCGGAAATAGTCTCTCTACCCCTCCGAGGTAGTGATAACATATGCATACATTCTATCCTCCCTAGACCTCATCACTTGTGGGATTTCACTGAATATGGTGTTGTTGTTATAATAAGCGATTTAATTGAGTGATCATCTGAGAAATTAACTCTGAAAATACTTGGTTAATTTTGTTAAAGAACAACAATATATTCACAATGAATAAATACACATTGAGGAAAATAAGAATGAATAACTTTAATTAAAATAGAAATAATTAACTTAAAATATAAAATATTTACTAAATGGCCTTAATAATACTAATTATTTTATTCTTATCTTACCAAATTGTTATCTTAATGGTTAATAATACAGGCAACTGCAGGCTTAAGAATGTTAAAAGGCAATACTGCAGAAAGAATTATGCAATCGGTACGATTCTAACCACTTTTTTTTTTTTAGCTATAATCGTAATTATAAATGACACTAACTTAATTAACTGTTTAGTAATTACTTGTGTTATTATGTTAATTAATATTTTTCAAAGGTGAGAAATATGCTGAAGAATGAAAGCATATTTGAATACAAGGATGGATGGGTTTCTATCCTTAGTGGAGCTCAAGAAGGTTCTTATTTTTGGGTAAGTATTTTCTCCGTTGAGCTCGGAATATGAAGTTGTTTTTTGTTCAGAATATTTTTACTTTTAAAGTAAAAAAATTATGCGAATTTAGATTAATCAAACTATAAAATAGGACTAAACACCTTGTGAAAAAACACAAAAAAGAAGTCCTTTTTCCCCCTTTTGATTAAAAAATTGACTTTATCGATAAAAATATTAATAATTCACTTCCTTGTTTTTGTTGTGTTGATGAACTTTGCGATCATTTTATCTAAATGCAACGGATGTTAGTGAGATTCGATCTCAATACCTTTACGTCTCATCTAAAACCTTAAATTTTTAAAGACAATACACTTTTATTTACTTTTTTAATCATATAATTCTTAAAATGTTTTCTTGCTTTTTTCAATAATTATTTTATTACAGGTTGGGTTGAACTATTTATTAAGAACTTTGGGTAAAAGCTACCAAAATACAGTAGCTACTATAGATCTTGGAGGTGGATCAGTACAAATGGCTTTTGCTTTATCAAAGGAAAATTCAGAAAAAGCTCCAATAAATTTAGATGGAGAAAAATATGTGTTACAAAAATCCCTCATGGGAGCTAATTATTACCTTTATGTTCATAGGTAAAATTACTTTTAAATGTCGTAGAATCCCTTTGACTTCTTCGTATATTTACTTCTTTATATATTGAATCTAAGATTCTGACTCCGTTACTATATGTAAAATTAACTCTTTTTTATGCAGTTATCTGAACTATGGTCTACTAGCATCACGAGCTGAAATTCTTAAAGTTTCAAGAAACTCTACTAGTCCATGCATTTTGAAGGGCACTTATGGTACATAACTATTTAAATATAGCAGTGTTTGAATAGGCACAAAGTTTTAAGATTTATTTTGTTTGAAATTTATTGTTTAAAACAAATCATAAATACAACAACATACCAAGTGAAATCTTATAAGTGTACGTAGACCTTAATTTTCGGGGGAAAATATAGATATTTATATAAATTCAAATTATTTCATTACAAATTTAACCATAATATATACTATTTTATTTGAAGGTTACTACACATATGGGGGAGTAGCATATAAAGCTTCACCTTCACCAAATGGTTCAAGTATGAGAAAATGCAAGGCAATTGTGTGGAGGACACTTAAGTTAAATGCACCATGTAAATACCATACTTGTACCTTTAATGGTGTGTGGAATGGTGGAGGTCTTGATGCTATCAAGAATATATATATTTCATCATTTTTCTTTGATATGGCTTCTGAGGTAATATATATATATAATTATTCTTCAATTCTTAATTCACAACGTAACATAAATGTCAGCAGAGATCAAGATAAAGAACACGTTTATGTGTTAAGTCATTATATGATTGAGTAGATTTTAACATGAATTATTATATTACAGGTTAATATTGTTGATCCAAAAGCATCATCTGGCAAAGCTAAGCCAATACAATACCTAAATGCAGCCAAGATTGCTTGCAAGCTAAAAGCTGAAGAAGTAAAATATGTGTTTCCTAATGTGGATAGTAAAGATCTCCCATATCTTTGCATGGATATGATATACCAATTCTCTTTACTTGTGGATGGATTTGGTAAGTTTTGGTATAACGATGTCATTTGTCTAAATATTTTTAGCTACTATAAAAAACATATAACATGACATAAAAATCAATTCTGAAATAAACTTGACCGTTATGATGAAATGCTATTATAGAGAATGCCAGTTATAGAGAGTATGTAACAATAAAGTCACTCAACGTTACTACCTAATTGTTATAATAATAAATTTAGCTTGATATATGGGTAGGCTTTATCGTTATAGCAGGTAAAGTTTACTAACTTTGTTGTTATACTTCGTATCATTTTATGTGATCAGATGTGTATAATGTATTAAAATACCCTTTGATTCTTGTGGTATAAAAAAATATGTCACATGGAATGTAAAATTTAAGAGTTAAAATATCGTAGAAAGTAACATTCTCTTATATACAAACTAAAGAAAATTAAGACACATATAAATTAAATGAGAGGGAGTAGTTGGTACGATTACTTTAATCAAACAAAAAAGTAGTGTTGTTATTCTATTGTTATAGTGAATAAAATTCAGTTGCTTAACGTAACAAAAAATAGTTTTTATGACTTTATAATTACGATAAATATAGTTTAATGACTATACGTGAAATTAATTCATATTTTGTTGGAATATTAACAAATAAGTAGAGTTTTAATCAATTTATTTTTTTGGATTATTTTTCAGGTTTGAATCCTCATAGAGAGATTACATTGGTGCATGATATTAATTACAAAAATAATCGTGTGGAAGCAGCATGGCCATTGGGTTGTGCAATTGACGTAGTCTCATCATCATCTTCAAGGACTCACATTTCATCTTCTTAATTAAATATTATTTCTAATCTAATTAATTAATTAGTGCTTTGTAAGGCCTTGTGTTTCTCTTGTTTAATTTACACCTTATTCGGATGACTGATGCATATTCTTTTATAATATATCGTATTATATTATATTACTTTGATAAAATAATTATTTGATATATATTAAGATTTTTTTTTTTATGTTTGAGGTTTATAATTCAAAAAAACGATAATATTGAGATGAAGTTAGAGTTGAGGTGTTCAAACACATTAAAGTCGATATGCTTAAATCATCACTCCCTTATTTTGATCAAGAATATATATGTTGCACTAGCATATGTGGAGACTTTAATCTCTCTTAATGATCTGTATTATATTACAACTAAGTTTAATTTATTTATTTTCGTATTTCATTAATTCGAGTTTTTGCTATGTATTCTTTCTTTTTTATTTGATTTCCATGTGTTCATTATTAGAACAAGTTCACTCTAAAAGTTAAATTGTTTGATTAGGTTTATTTAGCGGTGATTTAGATAAGGGGTCCAATCCGATTCAATTCATATAGGTTTGAGTTGGTTATTGACCCATCCATTTTAATCCATTAAAAATTGGGTTGATATTTTTAATTTTTAATTTTATTTTATATGTTATATATAATTATAATAAAGGGAAATATTTTTTATTAGATATTAAAAGCTTATAAAATAACAATAAAACTATTAAAACTTAATAAAAATTGGTCAGGTTGGGTTATGACTCCTTACCAACCCGTTTTGACTCATCCCACTTTGGTCCAAACAAATTTTGATTGGCTTGAGTCTTGATCCGTTTATTATCTTGATTTATTTTGACCCGTCTAAATTTAACTCAACTCCTTCGGTTGCCACCCCTAATTTACCGGCAATTTGAGAGCGGTGATTAATAAAGGCATAGTGGAACATGGTGACATATATTTCTTGTATTTTTTTTTTAAAAGAAGAGGAAAAGTCAGAAGTTGGTAAAATTTTAAAGTCACAAGTTGCAATACTATATTTGTTCTGCAATAAATTAATCACAAAGATATAGAAACGGTCCAATTCAAGATGCAACTTGTATTAAAAAGAAAAAGAATTGAATGTTTTCATTTAATTTCCATCAACTTTCCTCCACAATAAGATTACCGAGAAAATGATCAAAATGATCCTTGATGTATTTGGGGTTGCTTTATTTTGGTCCTCAATATATTCTAGGTGATTGAAATAGACTTCATGTATGACAAAATGTGTTCAATTTAGTCTTTTACCCTAAACTTAACATTTTACCCCCAAAAACTGTTAAATATAACGGTGGTCATGTATAACAAAATGTGTTCAATTTAGTCTTTTACCCTAAACTTAACATTTTACCCCCAAAAACTGTTAAATATAACGGTGGTCATGTATAACAAAATGTGTTCAATTTAGTCTTTTACCCTAAACTTAACATTTTACCCCCAAAAACTGTTAAATATAATGGTGGGCCCACCGTTATATTTTAACAGTTTTGGGGGTAAAATGTTAAGTTTAGGGTAAACCTAGGCACACATTGCCTAGCGGAATTGTTTAACAAAAAAAAAACTACTATTAGAATTGACCTTTGGTGGGTAGAGAAATTTAGAATGTGAAACCATTCAATTAAAAAGAAAAAGAATTGAATGTTTTCATTTAATTTCCATCAACTTTCCTCCACAATAAGATTGCCTATCAAGAGTCCCACAAGTATAATTTCCTAGAAGGATGAAATGTACTGTTATTAATTATTGGAATGCAAAAAGAAGAAGCATGTGGTTTTACTGTGCATGTCACACTGAATGAAAATATATGTAAAGCACTTTTAGTCAAGTGAAATCACAGGCATACCTCCAAACCAGCTAAAAAAATATGATATTACTTATATAGATTTAATTAAATACATAATTTACCTAACCAGTTATCAAACACGATAAGAGTATTATTTATATAAATTTAATATGCGGATAATTTACCTCCAAATCAATGGCTTAGTGACTCGTTAAAGTGAATATTGACCAATTATTCCAAACCAAATGAGAGAAGACTCTTGATCAATTATTTCAATCCACTTATCAATAATGTGAAAGAGATTTAAAGAAGAATGACTTTGAAATGCAAAAAAGAAATTAAAGCAGATAGTTATACCGACAATTAATAGTCCATAGTGAATTATTGGAGGTATGAAACTTTTTTCTTAAAAATATATTTAAAGATAAAAATTTTAAATTTTTTTTAAATATTTTTAAACTGTACAAATAAAAATGATTATTGTTTTTACTAGTGTGAACAAGTAAAAATCTACGAAGAGAGTGAAAGTAAATAGTATATCTATTAATATCATAACAAATAAAAATGAACGAGACATTTCTATGAAATATATTGGAAACTTCCCTTCCATTTCTGTCATGCTTCTTTGGGGCTTGTAAATGACTTGACCCATTATTAATTTTCCAGGAACAAATAATTACCTGTGGGTATATGTAGAAGCTGCTTCACTCATCTTTCTTTCATTATATTAAAATAAAAAATTATCTAAAAATCCCTTAAATTTATTGTCATCAAATATGCATACACAGTTTGTTGTAGGAGAATCATCTTCTTCTTCCAACTTGTATTATGATGTATTTCTTAGTTTCAGAGGTGAAGATACTCGCAAAACCTTCACCGGTCATCTTTACACCCAATTGTGTCAAGTCGGAGTTAATACCTTCATAGATGATGAGGAATTAAGAAAGGGAGACGCCATTTCAACCGAACTTGAGAAAGCAATTGAACAATCAAGGGTTGCCATTGTTGTTTTCTCCATAAATTATGCTTCCTCTAGTTGGTGTCTTGATGAACTCGTTAAAATTCTCGATTGCAGAGAGAGGTTAAATCAGGTAGTTTTGCCTATTTTTTATGATGTTGATCCTTCTCAAGTGCGAAAGCAAAAAGGGTCCTTTGGCAAAGCTTTGGCAGAACACAAGGAACCATTGGTTGGAGCTGAAAGAATGGAAAAGTGGAAAGCAGCACTCACTGAAGCTGCGAGTTTATCTGGATGGGATCTGCAAAACATGGCTGATGGGTAAGACTTCTTAATTCAACTATAGAATTTTGAATTTAAGCGTTTGTCTAAGCATATAAGCTGGTTAATTTTGGAACATTGCAAAGTCTTTCTATATTTCTTAAATTACATATCAAATCAAACTACATCCGCAGAGCAGTATTAATGGACAAATTTCCATTCTCTATCCTCGAGTTCTGTGTTATATGTTAGCTATTGATTTCCATTCTATCCAGGGAGAACTAGTTTTAACTTCTGATATTGCTAAAAAAACTGTAGGCATGAATCAAAATTTATCGGAAGTATTATAAAACAAGTTCTGCAAGAGGTCAACCAGACACCTCTAGATGTTGCTCATTACCCAATTGGATTAGATTCTTCTATCCAACATATAGAGTTGTTACTGCAAAGTGGATGTGAGCATGAAGTTCGTATGGTTGGTATATGTGGCGTTGGTGGAATTGGAAAAACAACTCTGGCGAAAGCTATATACAATCGATTATTTCGACAGTTTGGTGGTTGTTGTTGCTTTCTATCAGACATTAGATCACAAGCTGAAGAATCGGGTCTAATCAAGCTACAAGAGAAACTACTTTGTCAAATTCTCAAAACTAAGGAATTCAAAGTTGATAGTGTTGCTGAAGGTGTCAATCTAATCAAAGCAAGACTTGGGTCAAAGAAGGTTCTAATTGTTCTTGATGACGTGGATCATAGAAGCCAATTAGAATCCTTGACAAGAGAAAGAAGTTGGTTTGGCTCGGGTAGTGTAATAATTATTACAACCCGAGATGAGCATTTGCTACATGGGCTTACAACAAGTGAGATACACCGGGCCAAACTTTTAAATGAAAATGAATCTCAACAACTTTTTTCTTGTCATTCTTTTAACAGTCTTTCTCCACCACAAGAATATGTTGAACTGGCACAAGACATAATAAAATATTCAGGTGGGCTACCATTAGCTCTTGTGACATTGGGGTCACATCTGCAAGGGAGATCCGTTGAAGAATGGAGAAATGAGTTCAAGAAACTAAAAGCAATTCCTCATTATGATATTCAAAAGATTCTCCAGATAAGCTTTGATGGACTTGATGATAATACTCAAAGTGTTTTCCTTGATATCGCGTGTGCCTTCCATGGATTTTTTGAGGATGAAGTTACTAGTACATTAAATGCGTGTGGTTTTTATTCTGAAAGTGCTATTTCAACCTTAGTCCAAAGGAACTTGCTCCAAAGGGATTGGCATAATTTAGCGATGCATGATCTTGTGCGGGATATGGGAAGAGAAATCGTTCGCAGGGAATCACCTCGAGACTCTGGAAAACGGAGTAGATTGTTCAACCCTCAAGAAGTCTGTGACGTTCTACAAGGAAATAAAGTCAGTAAATTTCATAATCTTTATCTTGGTTAATACTTTTTTTTGTCTTTTTATTTTACTTAATTTGATATAATTTGCTTATAATTTATGTGTCACCACAAGAATTCAATTCATTTGTGCTTAGTTCGTTCTGGCTTGTAAATTATCTCTAGTTGTTTTTACCACTCTGTACTTGAAATAAACATTTACTAAAGTCTAAACACTCAAACTATCAAAGACAAAATTATCAAATAAAATTTACTTATTCAGTAATTATATAAATCGGTTTGCTGAAAGATATTTCTTGTTAAATATCCTTTAGTTGGATATATTGTGTAGATTTATTTTTATTGGTAGATAATTTGTTCTCTTTGTTTGACCTTCAATTTGTATAAAGCATTTCTCTCTCTTAATTTCTCTTAGTTAACATGGTCTTATAGTACTTTTGTTTTTACTTAACTACAGGGTTCTGAAAATGTAGAAGTACTGATGGTAGAACGACATGCATTAAAGGGTGTGAAGCTGAGCACCAAAGCATTTCAGAAAATGATAAATCTTAGGGTGCTTAAAATCGACGACTTACATATTAGTGGAGATTTTGAGCTATTGTCCAAGGAGCTCAGATGGTTGTCTTGGGAAGGATGTCCTTTAAAATGTATACCATCAAATTTTCCATCTGACCAACTTGTATTTCTGAATATGAAAGGGAGCAATATCCAAGAACTTGGTTTGAATTTGCAGGTTCGTTACTCAATTCTGCAATTTCATGTGTACTGTTATATCGCAACTAAGAGAAAGAAAATCTTAGTTGACACTATATTTTGTTTATTTTAGTATTGTAGAAATTTGAAGAAGCTGGATCTCTCTGATTGCAAGCACCTCAGAAATACTCCAAACTTCAGCGGTTTACGAAGTCTCGAGACTTTGTGGCTTGAGAATTGCTCAAGTCTAAAGGAGATCCATCCATCAATAGGAAATTTGGACAGACTAACTGCTCTTCATTTGTATGGTTGCAAAAAGATTACGGATCTTCCAAGTAGCACATGCCAGCTAAAATCCCTTGAAGACTTGGACATTACTTACTGCTCATCTTTACAAACACTGCCAGCTGACATTGGAGATATGCAAAGCCTAAGACATCTCTATGCACAAGATACTGATATAAAACAATTGCCCGGATCTGTTAAAATGCTAAGAAATCTTACAGATTTGCAAGTGGGAGGTCAAAATTTAAAGGCCAAAAGGAGAGTTTATCAAAGAAGATCCCACCATATAGAATCCTTGCCAATTTCTATTTCTCGTTTAATCCTTCGATATTGTGATTTCTCCGAGGCTGATATTCCTAGGGATATTGGGACTTTATCCAACTTACATGATTTAGATTTGAGCGGCAACAGTTTCCTCTATCTACCCTTTGATTTCTCCAAGTTACCATGGTTGAAGTCCTTGCGTTTGAATGATTGTATGAATCTTCAAACACTCCCGTCAATATCAAATTTAGAGTACCTTTATATTCTTGAACTTAGGAATTGCCAAAAGTTGGTCAAGATTACAGGGTTGGACAACCTCCCTTCAATACAAGAGATCGACACTCTTAATTGTACTTCTCTGCAGAATCCATTCAATGATGGCTTCTTTAGTGCCCATGCTCTATCAATTTCATCTAGAAAATATGCAATGTTTCAGGTAAGTCCCTTTATTTTTGTGTGTCTCGTATCACATTATTAATTAATGTTCTAATTGTGTCTTAATTTGTCTGATGAAGCTGCGGTTACACATTTATCTCCAAAGCAATGAGATTCCAGATTGGTGCAGCAATCAAGTAACAGCTCCATCTATCTGTTTCACTATTCCCTCCGTATTTAAGAAAAAGTCGTTAGGAATGATTCTCTGGTTTGTTTGCGACTCTAAGATTTTATCCCAGTTTGGACACTTCCTTGTTTCCGTATCCAATAAAAAGCCTTTAGTTTTTTACTGGACTAGGTATATTACTACACCCGAATCACACGGAGAAGTATCATGCGTATATTACATATCTTGCTTAACTAGTCATTATTCTGGCCTGATGATCAAAGGCGGGGAAAAGATAACAGTCGAGGAGGGCCCTGACAAAGGTAGAGTAAAGAAGATAGGGGTACATCTGTTATACTTAGACAAACATGGTAATGTTACATCTTCCCCACCAATCCTTGAAGAAAATCATTCGCATTCTCAGATAATGAACAGAGAGAGTCTCAGTGGAAATGAACTCAAAAAGAGTGTCAAACAGAGGATATCAGCTCAATCCTTGAAGAACATCATCACTCGCTTCAAATCTTAGTTGAATCAAAAATAACTTGCTCCAGTTTCTTATCAACATGCAATATTCAAAATGCTCATCCAACTACAATCTGATTTTTTTAAAAAGTATTTTTCATCCGACAGATGCTAAATACTCATTGCAAGTTGTCATCCAATGAAAATTTTGCTAGTGTGTACATTTTATATCTTACTCAAATGATGGACCTTTTTATGGCCTGAAGATTGAAGGCGGGGAAAAGATAACAGTCAAGGAGGGCGCTGACGAAGGTATAGTTTTTGCAGGCAGTTGTGGATCATTCTTATACTGATCTCTACCCAAAAAGACTTTCATCAAACTACTCCTCTTTGATAAAAGATCAAAGTTTCTGTGTTCGGTAGCAAGGAAAATATGTTCCATGAAAACGTTTTTTTGGAAAATGTTTATTCTAAAAGTATTTGTATATATAACACTAAGTGGAAATGTACTTTTCTGCAGAATCCATTCAATGAATGCATCTTTAGTGCCACTGCTCTATCAATTCCATCTGGAAAATATCCAATACATGAGGGTAGTCCCCTCTCTCTCTCTCTCGTATCACATTAACAATTAATGATCTAATTGTATTTTAATTTGTCTGATGAAGCAGATTTTATGAATTTGTGTCGAATGCAATGAGATTCCAGATGGGTGCAGCAATAAAGTAACAGCTCCATATATCTGTTTCACTATGCCCACAATACATAATAATAAGTTGTTAAGAATGGTTCTCTAGTCTGTTGGCGACTTTGAGGCTTTATCCTATTTTGGGAACTTCCTTGTTACTGTTGCCCATAAAAAGCCTTTAGTTATGGAGTGGTTTGGGTGTAGGAAAATACCCGAATTACACGAAGAAATAGCATGTGTATTTGATGTATCTTGCTTACGTAGACCTTTCGATGGCCTGATGCTCAAAGGTGGGGAAGAGATAACAGTCGAGGAGGGCCCTTACAAAGGTGTAGTAAAAAAGATAGGTATCCATCTGTTATACTTAGACCAACACGGTAATGTTACATCTTTCCCCATTTCCAGAAAAACTTCAGCAGGGCATAAAAGAGCAAAGTTCTGAGTCAAGCTTGGGAATGAGTGATGACTGAATCTGTGGTTTCGAGATTGCTCAAGTCTGAGACTTCTATTTCGAGATTTTCTTTTCTAAGAAGAGCATGCCACTTACAATCCTTGTCATCGACTTCTATTTCGTGTTTGTCTGAGACTGATTTTCCTAAGTTTATTGGGAGTTTATATACTGCATAGAAGTTTTAGATTTGAGCAGTAACAATTTTCACTGAGGTTCTTGCTTTTGAATGACAATGAGAGTCTTCAAACACTTCCATCAGTTGCTTCTGTATAAAATTTTGTTTTCCATTGTATACTGCTAGTTTTTTGAGCTGCACTAAAACTTAGTAAAAAGAGATGAATCTGTATAGTGAATATACTTCTTATAAATGTTTGTGGTGATTTATGGTCATTATTTGCAAATTTCATATACTCATCAGTTCCTATTTACTTGTCAAATATTTTCTAATTTGATTTCCCTTTTTAGTTCGTCATTTTTTTTACAAATGAAGGAAGAACAATTATTTTCTTCCTATTATACGCTTAATTTATTAACATTGAATTAATGTCTTTGAAAAATGTAGTAAGTAAATATGTTTAAGATTCTATCAATTAATAGGGTAAAATAGTAAACTTACTATACCAATCATTGTTTTCTTTAACAGGTGTGTCAAGTCAAAATTTAACAAGTAAAAAGGGACGAAAAGAGTATATATACTTTGTGAATTGAGATTTATGTCAATGCTTTGACTGGTTCTTGAGATGTTAAATAATTCCAAATAATATTAATTTGATTTTCATGACCAAACACCTACTTAGCTTGTTGATCTCAATTACGTAAAATCTCTATAAAAGATAACCAAAGAATGTCTCGAAGTCAACTACTGGTCAGACTATTCAAAAAGAACTTATATTATAAGAAAATATTCAAAAAGGAGAAAAAAAAAGTGAAGGAGAAGAAAGAGGAGGTAAATAGCGTGTATATTTATGATACGTTAAGTAAGCAATATATTTGTTTATGTAATAAGTTAATTGCAAAGAATCAATTACGAATTTGGTTGAAAATAGAATTAAGTACTCTCTTCCTCTCATATTAGTTGATCATTATATTAAAAATAATTATCTAATATAAATATTTTCTATATTATCCTTGCAATTAATTCTTTTTAAAAGTGTTCATATTTGTTTATAAAATTCCAAAATATTTTTTAAAAGGGTGAATTAATAAAATTATCTTCATATTTATGATTTTTTAAGCACCATACAAAATGAAAAGTGATCAAATAATGGGACAGAGGAAGTATTAGATTACTCACTCTGTGGTATCATAATATTATCATTTTATTTATTGCTAATGAATATGTGTCATCATACTGGACAAATTAAAATGAACGAACGTCCCAATAGCAAATTAAATTTCTTACTTGGGATCAACAAGGATTGTGGTGCAGTAGAAAGTACTCATTTATCCTTAATCAGACTCTTGGGTTCAAGTTTCCCTTGGTATAAAGTCCCCTTTTTTAGGGAGCGTTTTACCTCCAATGTGGAACTTTTCAGTGCAAATCAAAATTTAATCGGGTTCCAATGTGGTACGAACAACAAGTGGAAAATCAAATCAAATAAAAAAATAATAATTTTTTTTCTTATTTTTGAAGAATCTGACACAGATAGAGCAACATTTTCAAAGAATCTGAGTAAAATACCAAACTATGATAATCTTAATAAAGGCATAGTGGAACATCATGACATATTTGTTGTATTTTATTTTTAAGGGAAAAGGCTCAAATATGCCATTGAACTTTCAGAAAAGGCTCATTTATGCCATCCGTTAAAAGTTTGGCTCATCTATGCCATTACCGTTTAAGAAAAGGCTCATTCATGCCATTATTTTTTAACGGTGGTTTTGCAGAACCATTTTTTTAAATGTTTGTTTAGAATTTTGATTTTTTATTATAAAAAAAATAATGACGTGGCCGAATTATAATTGGCCACGTGTAAAAAATGATTTTGCAAAACCACCGTTAAAATATTTGTTCATAATTTTGTTTTTTTGTTATAAAAAAATAATGACGTGGCTGAATTATAATTGGTCACGTGTAAAAAATAGTTTTGCAAAACCACCGTTAAAATGCTTGTTCAGAATTTTGATTTTTTATTATAAAAAAATAATGACATGGCCAAATTATAATTGGCCACGTGTAAAAAATGGTTTTGCAAAACCACCGTTAAAAAATAATGGCATGAATGAGCTTTTTCTTAAACGGTAATGGCATAGATGAGCCAAACTTTTAACGAATGGCATAAATGAGCCTTTTCTGAAAGTTCGATGGCATATTTGAGCCTTTTCCCTATTTTTAATAAAGATGAAGAGGAAAAGTCAGAGGTTGTGAAATTTGTTGCAATACTATATTTGTTCTGCAATAAATTAATCACAAAGATATAGAAACGGTCCAATTCAATAAATTATTCACTTTGTGTGTAATCGTAATATTGTTATTTTATTTATTGTTAATGAACGTATATCGTTATAAATGAACCGAGGGTGAGAGTAAACAAATTAAATTTCTTAGGACTTGGGAGGTATCTTGCAAAATAGTTGATCTAATACTATACAGTGAACTTTCTTGGTTTCATCCATGAATACTCAAGGAGAATCATCATCTTCTTCTTCCCACTTGTCTTATGATGTATTTCTCAGTTTTAGAGGCGAAAGATACTCGCAAAACCTTCACCGGTCATCTTTACACCCAATTGTGTCAAGTCGGAGTTCATACCTTCATAGATGATGAGGAATTAAGAAAGGGAGACGTCATTTCAACCGAACTTGAGAAAGCAATTGAACAATCAAGGGTTGCCATTGTTGTTTTCTCCAAAAATTATGCTTCGTCTAGTTGGTGTCTTGATGAACTTGTTAAAATTCTCGATTGCAAAGAGAGGTTAAAGCAGGTAGTTTTGCCTATTTTCTATGATGTTGATCCTTCTCAAGTGCGAAAGCAAACTGGGTCCTTTGGCGAAGCTTTGGCAAAACACAAGGAACGATCAATTGGAGCTGAAAGAATGGAAAAGTGGAAAGCAGCACTCACTGAAGCTGCAAATTTATCTGGATGGGATTTGCGAAATATTGCTGATGGGTAAAACTTCTTAATTTAATGGGAAAATGCATAAGTATCCCCAAATTTATGCCTGAAATTTCAGAGACACACTTATACTATACTAAGATCCTATTATCCGAACTTATTTTATAAATAATTTTCTACCCCTTTTCGGTCTATGTGACACTATTCTTGAAAGAATTGTCAACATGCGCTGGCCCTGAAGATAGTGTCACGTAGGCTGAAAAGGAGTAGAAAATTATTTATAAAATAAGTACGGGGTAATAAGACCTTAATATAGTATAAGTGTGTCTCTGAAATTTCGGGCATAGGTTGAGGGATACTTATGTATTTTCCCTAATTTAATTATAGAATTTTGAATTTAAGAATTTGCTTAAGCTTATAAGTTGGTTAGTTTTGAAACATTGCAAAGTCTTTCAATATTTCTTAAAACTCAGTGCCCAATCAAACTAAGGGAGTAGTAATAATCGATAATCCAAGTATCAATTAACAGCAATTAGCCTGTTAAATGTAGTTAGAATTTACTAATAGCATAGAAATATCAATATATAAAAATAAATTCCGTTCTCTAACCTCGAGTCCCTGTTATCTGTTGGCTATTGATTTTGTTTTGTTCATCAAATATCCAAGTATTGTTTTGCTTTTTTTACTTTTAACTTTTGTTGTTGCCATAAAATTGTAGGCATGAATCAAAATTTATTGGAAGTATTATAAAACAAGTTCTGCAAGAGGTCAACCAGACACCTCTAGATGTTGCTCATTACCCAATTGGATTAGATTCTTCTATCGAACATATAGAGTTGTTACTGCAAAGTGGATGTGAGCATGAAGTTCACATGATTGGTATATGTGGCGTTGGTGGAATTGGAAAAACAACTCTGGCAAAAGCTATCTACAATAAAATATTTCAACAGTTTGATGGTAGTTGCTTCCTTTCAGACGTTAGATCAAAAACTGAAGAAATGGGTCTAGTCAAACTTCAAAAGAAACTACTTAATCAAATCCTCAAAACTAAGGAATTTGAAGTTGATAGTGTTGCTGAAGGTGTTAATCTCATCAAAGCAAGACTTGGGTTTCAGAAGGTTCTAATTGTTCTTGATGACGTGGATCATAAAAGCCGATTAGAATCCTTAACAAGAGAAAGAAGTTGGTTTGGCTTTGGTAGTGTAATAATTATTACAACCCGAGACGAGCATTTGTTGTATGGGCTTACAACAAGTGAGATATACCAGGCCAAACTTTTAAATGACAACGAAGCTCAGCAACTTTTTTCTCGTCATGCTTTCAACAGTTTTTCTCCACCACAAGAATATGATGAGCTGGCACAAGACATAATAAAATATTCAGGTGGGTTACCATTAGCTCTTGTGACATTAGGGTCACATTTGCAAGGGAGATCCATAGAAGAATGGAGACACGAGTTCAAAAAACTAAGAGCAATTCCTCATTGTGATACTCAAAAGATTCTCCAAATAAGCTTTGATGGACTTGATGACAATACTCAGAGTGTTTTCCTTGATATCACATGCGCCTTCCATGGATGTTATGAGGATGAAGTGACCAAAACATTAAATGCGTGTGGTTTTTATTCTGAAAGTGCAATTTCGACCTTAATCCAAAGGAACTTACTCCAAAGGGATTGCTGTTATTTGGTGATGCATGATCTAGTGCGGGATATGGGAAGAGAAATCGTTCGCTTGGAATCACCTCGAGACTCTGGAAAACGGAGTAGATTGTTCAACCCTCAAGAAGTCCGTGATGTTCTACAAGGAAATAAAGTTAGTAAATTTGGATTATCTTTATTTGATATACATTTGCTTATAATTTATGTTGTCACCACATAAACTTATTTCATTTGTGCTCAATACTTCTCTGGCTAGTAAATTATCTCTAGTTGTTTGCGAACCACTCTGTACTTGAAATGAGTCAAAGACAAAATTATCAAATAAAATTCAGTTATTCAATAATTATAGAAATTGATTTGTTGAAAGATATTTCTTATTAAATATTTGGATATAATGTGTAAATTTATTTTCTTGGTAGATAATTTTTATTCTCTTTGATTGACCTTTAATTTGTATAAAACATTTCTCTCTCTTAATTTCTTATACTTAACATGGTCTTATGGTACTTAACATGGTCTTACAGGGTTCCAAAAATGTAGAAGTATTGGTGGTAGAACGACGGGCATTAAAGGGTGTGAAGCTGAGCACCAAAGCATTTCAGAAAATGATAAAACTTAGGGTGCTTAAAATTGATGACTTACATATTAGTGGAGATTTTGAGCTATTGTCCAAGGAGCTCAGATGGTTGTCTTGGAAAGGATGTCCTTTAAAATGTATACCATTAAATTTTCCAGCTGAAAAACTTGTAGTTCTGAATATGGAAGGGAGCGATGTCCAAGACTTTGGTTTGAATTTGCAGGTTCATTACTCAATTCTGCAATTTCACGTGTACTGTTATATCGCAAGTATGAGAAGGAAAATGTTTAATTGAAATTATATTTTGTTTACATTTTAGTGTTGTAGAAGTTTGAAGGAGCTGAATCTCACTGATTGCAAGCGCCTCAGAAGTACTCCAAACTTCAGGGGTTCACGAAGTCTCAAGATTTTGTCCCTTGAGAATTGCTCAAGTCTAAAGGAGATCCATCCATCAATAGGAAATTTGGAAAGACTAATTGATCTTCAATTGAGTGGTTGCAAAAAGATTACGGATCTTCCGAGCGGCATATGCCAGCTAAAATCCCTTGAATACTTGTGCATTAATGACTGCTTATCTTTACAAACACTGCCAGTTGACATTGGAGATATGCAAAACCTAGTAATTCCTCATGCATGGGATACAGGTATAAAACAATTGCCTGTATCTGTTGAGATGCTAAGAAATCTTGAACATTTGCAAGTGGGAAGTAGAAATTTAGTGGCCAAAAGGAGTTTTTCTCGAAGAAGAAGAGTCCGCCGCATAGAATTCTTGCCAATTTTTATTTTTCATTTATGCCTTCCATATTTTGGTTTCTCAGAGGATGATATTCCTAGAGATATTGGAAGATTATCCAACTTACGTTATTTAGATTTGAGGGGCAACAATTTCCTCTATCTACCCTTTGATTTTTCCAAGTTACCATTGTTGATTTCCTTGTGTTTGAATGATTGTAAGAATCTTCAAACACTCCCATCACTATCAAATTTAGAGTACCTTGAAATTCTTGGACTTGAGAATTGCCAAAATCTGGTGAGGATTACAGGGTTGGACTACCTCCCGTCAATAAAGATGATCGACGTGATTAATTGTACTTCCCTGCAGAATCAATTCAATGAAGGCTTCTTTAGTGCCCATGCTCTATCAACTCCGTCTATAAAATATCCAGATATTAAGGTTTAGTCCCTCTTCCTCTCTCTCTCATATCACATTATTAATGATCTAATTTTGTCTTAATTAATATGTCTGATGAAGCTGCAGTTAGAAATTTATGTCGAAAGCAATGAGATTCCAGAATGGTGCAGCAATAAAGTAACAGCTCCATCTATTTGTTTGACTATGCCCACAGTACAGAATAATGAGTATAACTTCTTAGGAATGGTTCTCTGGTTTGTTTCCCACTTTTGCAATGTAACCACCCGTCTTCAAAAGTTTGATGTTACTATTGGCCAGCCTTCAGCTTTTTTCTTGACTTGGGTACCTGACAGTCAGGGAGAAGTATCATGTGTACATTACTTATCTTTCTCAAATGGTAGACCTTTTAATGGCCTGAACATCATCAAAGGCGGGGAACAGATAAGAGTAGAGGATCACAGTGATGGAGGCATAATAAAGAAGATAGGAGTACGTCTGTTATATTTAGATCAACATGGTAATGTTACTTCTTTCCCGGCAGTTGTGGATCATTCTTATACTCCCAACCCACAAAGATAGATGTTTGATTTGGGTTGATATAAATTGTTAAGCTGACAAAAAGTTGACAAGCAAACTACATACTGTAATAAATAGAATTCTTACAAGTGCTTCGACATTATTGCTGCTTTGATGTATTTGTACAAGATTTTATGTGAACATTCCCTGGCCAATTGAAACAAACACTGTTAGCAACATCTAATACTATATCAATCATGAAATTTTCAGTGAAACGTTGCCACTATAACGAGGTTTGACTGTACTTGCATAATGTTAAACCATCATCGTACAAGACATGCCACCCTTACCTACAAGGTGGAGCATTTTCATCAGACATGCTCAAATGCAACAAATCCATACGGATATGATGATCAAAATTGAATGACCGCGAAAGAAATTAAACGAATAGAAGCTAGAATGTCAATTGACTCACTAATAATCCCCTCAAGTACCCGAGGTTGCATATTAATTCCTCCCAAGATAAAACGGATTAACCATTAACGAAGTAGCAGTACCTCAAACTTCGATAATTTCAACGAACTCAAAATGACAGCAACGAATCATACACAGACACGATCAATTGATTTTGTTTTTTTAAGAAATGTATGCAAAAGAAGGGAAGAATTCGATGCAGAAAAATGGGAGGAAACTTCTCTATTTATAGCCAACAAAGGGTAAAGGCACAACCCTTTGGAAAGAAGACAACCTTTCAGAGAGGTCACAACACTTTCAAAAAGGCATAACCTTTCAAATGGTCATAACCCTTTAGAAAGGACACAACATTTCATAAAGGTCACAATCCTTCGGCATAGTCACAACTCTTCAGGAGAGTCACAGCCCTTCATTTCCTGTTCACACATTTAAAACCCAACAATCCCCCACATGAATAGGGAATGGCTATTGTTAAAACATATGCATGAAAAATTGTGTGATTTGTAATTAAGGATTGATTGCCTCTGGATAAGTGGGTTTCCCTTTGAACTTTCCATAGTGAACATATATCGGATATACTCGGTCAATCGGTAGATTTGATATCTTTGAACCGTCGAGCTTTGGTGTATACCTAGACAACATAAGTCACACAATCAACCCTTGAACTGTTTTTGGTTCTCATTGTTTTATTCTTTTCGGCCATGAACACGTCTCAGTTTATAAGTGCGTAGAGAACTGGCCTTACCAGATTCTCCTTGAAGCGGCTTACACTTCACACTTACATAGGTGATTTCTAAAATGTGTTATCCCATAGATACACCATTTGATATACGCTGTATCAAACTTAGAAATCATTAAAAAGTCCTAATGCATTTATCCTTGTTACTGAACATTGTCTTATCATGAGAATGGACCATAAAAAATATTTTGACAATGTTGAACCGTCATCAATGACTTTGTTTGATCTCCTTGAACCTAGATCTTGGGATCTCCAGTCTTCTAGGTAGAGTTACCGCCACAATGACTTGTTCTCGGCCATAGTCCCATTCCCTTTGATAATCTATCAACTCCCTCTCTAGTTAGGCCTTTTATAAGTGGTCCGACACATTATCCTTTGACTTTACATAGTCAATTATGATAATTCCACTAGAGAGTAGTTCTCTAACGATATTATGTCTACGTCATATATGATGAGACTTCCCGTTATACATCATGCTCCATGCCCTACCTATTGAGAATTAACTCTCACAGTGTATGCATACCGGAGCTAAAAGGTTTGGGCCAAAAATCTTTTAAGAAATTTTGGAGTCATTCAACTTCTTCACCCGCCTTATCTAGAGTGATAAACTCAGATTTCATAGTAGAGTCATATAATATATGATCATGATTACGTTGGCATCATCTCATCCCATTGACGAATGACTCCTAAATGAATTTTGATCAATTATTTCAATCCACTTTCCCATAATGTGAAAGAGATTCAAAGAAGAATGGACTTTGAGATGCCAAAAAGAAGAGTGAGAGAGTTGTGTTGACAATTAATATGAAAGCAAGTCACAAATTATCTACTAAAGTCAATCTAGTCCATAAGTGAATTATTAGAGATATAAAAATAAAAATCTTTATTATTTTTATTAGTGTGACCAATTAAAAATCTAGGAAGGAAGTGAAAATTAATACTTATCATGGACAAATAAAAATTAAAAATGAAGGAAACATGTCTATGAAATATCTTGGGAACTTCCCTTTCATTTCTGTTAACCTTCTTTGGGGAGGATTGTAAATGAGTTGACCCAAAATAACAAACAATTACTTGTGGGTGGTGTTCATGGTTTGGATAAAACCAATCCAAACTGAAAAATCGAATCAAATCGATAAAATAAAATCGATTTTATTTGGATTTGATTTTAGATTTTTAAAAACCGATAGTATTTGGTTTGGTTATGGTTTTATTCAAAAAAACCGAAGAAATAACTGAACCGATGAATTATATACATATATTTTATTAATATACATACTTAATATATTGTTTTTATAAGCAACTTTAAAGATCTTACATATATTTTCATTAATTTTTTTTTTATAATTTACTTATTGAAAGCAAAAATGCCCAAGATAAAAATATTTATCTTATTGATTTCATATATATGAATGTCTATGACAATTCTTTGTGGAACTGAAAATGTTATTGTCTCTTCCTTCTAGGCCAATATAGTGAATTTTAAAGTTTTATTAATAGTAAATTTAGTGATCAAAAGTTCAATAATTTAAGTCATTCTAACTATTTTTCGTTTTGAATGGATTGTTGTCACTTTTTTCACATTTTGAATGAATTATTTCTTTTATTTTTGTGTATGGTTAATAACCGAACCAAATCAAACCGAAACTAATAACCATCAAACCGATAAATGTATATTATATTTGATTTGATTTGGTTTTGATAATTTTAAAACCGATTAAGTTGGTTTGATTTTGAATTTGACCACTAACCAATACCTACTTGTGGGTATATAAAGTGCTGCTTCACTCATCTCTATTTAATTAAAAAAAACAAAAGTTGACTAAAATTCTCTTTAATTTATTGTCATCAAATATGAATACTCAATTTGTTGTAGGAGAATCATCTTCTTCTTCCAACTTCTCTTATGATGTATTTCTCAGTTTCAGAGGTAAAGATACCCGTAAAAACTTCACCGGTCATCTTTATTTCCGATTGTGTCAAGTCGGAGTTAATACTTTCATAGATGATGAGGAATTGAGAAAGGGAGACGTCATTTCAACAGAACTTGAGAAAGCAATTGAAGAATCTAGGGTTGCCATTGTTGTTTTCTCCAAAAATTATGCTTCGTCTAGTTGGTGTCTCGATGAACTTGTCAAAATTCTCGATTGCAGAGAGAGGTTAAATCAGGTAATTTTGCCTATTTTCTATGATGTTGATCCTTCTCAAGTGCGAAAACAAACTGGGTCCTTTGGCGAAGCTTTGGCAAAACACAAGGAACAATTGTTTGGAGTTCAAAGAGTGGAGAAGTGGAGAGCTGCACTTACTGAAGCTGCGAATTTATCTGGATGGGATTTGCGAAACATGGCTGATGGGTAAGACTTCTTAATTTAACTATAGAGTTTTGAATTTAAGCGTTTGCCTAAGCTTATAAGTCAATAGTGGACAATATTGAGGGACAAAGAAAGGAAGTTGGTTTACATAAATTGGGACGAAGGAGTAGTAGTAGTAATAGATAATCTCCATTCTCTTACCTCGATTCCTGTTAGTTGATTTTGTTTTGTTCATCAAATATCAAAGTATTGTTTTACTTGTTTTTTTACTTTTAACTTCTTTTATTGCTAAAAACTGTAGGCATGAATCAAAATTTATTGGAAGTATTATAAAACAAGTTTTGCAAGAGGTCAACCAGACACCTCTAGATGTTGCTCATTACCCAATTGGATTAGATTCTTCTATCGAACATATAGAGTTGTTACTGCAAAGTGGATGTGAGCATGAAGTTCACATGGTTGGTATATGTGGCGTTGGTGGAATTGGAAAAACAACTCTGGCGAAAGCTATCTACAATCGAATATTTCGACAATTTGGTGGTTGTTGCTTCCTTTCAGACACTAGATCAAAAGCTAAAGAACAGGGTCTAGTCAAGCTACAAGAGAAACTACTTTGTCAAATTCTCAAAACTAAGGAATTCGAAGTTGATAGTGTTGATGAAGGTGTCAATCTAATCAAAGCAAGACTTGGGTCAAAGAAGGTTCTAATTGTTCTTGATGACGTGGATCATAGAAGCCAATTAGAATCCTTAACAAGAGAAAGAAGTTGGTTTGGCTCTGGCAGTGTAATAATTATTACAACCCGAGACAAGCATTTGCTATATGGGCTTACAACAAGTGAGATACACCAGGCCAAACTTTTAAATAAAAATGAAGCTCAACAACTTTTTTGTTGTCATGCTTTTAACAGCCTTTCTCCATCACAAGAATATGTTGAGCTGGCACAAGACATAATAAAATATTCAGGTGGGCTACCATTAGCTCTTGTGACATTGGGGTCACATTTGCAAGGGAGATCCGTAGAAGAATGGAGATACGAGTTCATAAAACTAAAAGCAATTCCTCATGGTGATATTCAAAAGATTCTCCAGATAAGCTTTGATGGACTTGATGACAATCCTAAGAGTGTTTTCCTTGATATCGCATGCGCCTTTCATGTGTGTTATGAGGATGAAGTTACCAAAGCATTAAATGCGTGTGGTTTTTATTCTAAAAGTGCAATTTCAACCTTAGTCGAAAGGAACTTGCTCCAAAGGGATTGGCCTTATTTGGTGATACATGACCTTGTGCGGGATATGGGAAGAGAAATCGTTCGCAGGGAATCACCTCGAGACTCTGGGAAACGGAGTAGATTGTTCAACCCTCAAGAAGTCCATGATGTTCTACAAGGAAATAAAGTAAGTAAATTTCATTATCTTTATCTTAGTTATACAATTGCTTATAATTTAGGTTGTCACCAGAAGAACTCAATTCATTTGTGCTTAATTCTTCTCTGGCTAGTAAATTATCTCTAGTTGTTTGCCAACCACTCTTTCCTAATTTCTCGTACTTTTCTTTTTACTAAACTACAGGGTTCCGAAAATATAGAAGTATTGGTGTTAGAACGACATGCATTAAAGGGTGTGAAGCTGAGCACAAAAGCATTTCAGAAAATGATAAAACTTAGGGTGCTTAAAATCGACGACTTACATATTAGTGGAGATTTTGAGCTATTGTCCAAGGAGCTCAGATGGTTGTCTTGGAAAGGATGTCCTTTAAAATGTATGCCATCAAATTTTCCAGCTGAGAAACTTGTAATCCTGAATATGAAAGGGAGCAATATCGAAGAATTTGGTTTGAATTTGCAGGTTTATTACTCAATTCTGCAATTTGATGTATACTGTTATATTGCAACTACGTGAAGGAAAATGTTAATTGAAATTATATTTTTTTACTTCTTAGTATTGTAGAAGTTTGAAGGAGCTGAATCTTTCTGATTGCAAACGCCTCAGAAGTACTCCAAACTTCAGGGGTTCACGAAGTCTTGAAACTTTGTCGCTTGAGAATTGCTCAAGTCTAAAGGAGATCCATCCATCAATAGGAAATTTGGAAAGACTAACTGATCTTCAATTGAATGGTTGCAAAAAGATATCAGATTTTCCGAGCAGCATATGCCAGCTAAATTCCCTTAAATACTTGGACATTAGTTACTGCTCATCTTTACAAACACTGCCAGTTGACATTGGAGATATGCACAGCCTAAGACATATTTATGCACGGGATACGGGTAGAAAACAACTGCCCGAATCTGTTGAAATGCTAAGAAATCTTGAAGAATTGCTAGTGGGAGGTCGAAATTTAGAGGCCAAAAGGAGTTTTTCTCGAAGAAGAGTTCGCCGCATAGAATCCTTGTCAATGTTTATTTTTCATTTAAGCCTTCCATATTTTGGTTTATCCGATGATGATATTCCTAGGGACATTGGGAGATTATCCAACTTACTTTATTTAGATTTGAGGGGCAACAGTTTCCTCTATCTACCCTTTGATTTTTCCAAGTTACCATTGTTGATGTATTTGTATTTGAATGATTGTAAGAATCTTCAAACACTCCCGTCAATATCAAATTTAGAGAAGCTTAAAATTGTTGACCTTAGGAATTGCCAAAAACTGGTCAAGATTACAGGGTTGGACAACCTCCCTTCAATAAAGAAGATGGACATGATTAATTGTACTTGTCTGCAGAATCCATTCAATGAAGGCTTCTTTAGTGCCCCTGCTCTATCAATTCCATCTAGAAAATATCCAGAGCATGAAGTTAGTCCCTCTCTCTCTCTCTCTCTCTCTTGAATCACTTTATTATTTAATGTTCTAATAATGTCTTAATTTGTCTGATGAAGCAGCGGTTACAAGTTTATGTCGAAAGCAATGAGATTCCAGATTGGTGCAGCAATAAAGTAACAGCTCCATCTATGCGTTTGACTATGCCTACAGTAGATAATAATGAGTATAACTTCTTAGGGATGGTTGTCTGGTTTGTTTGCCATTGCAATGTATTCACCCTTCATCAATACTTCGATGTTACTGTTGCCCATATAAAGCCTTCAGCTTTTCCGTTTAGTTTGGATTTTGATATACCTGAGCCTGACAGTCAGGGAGAAATATCATGTGTATATTACTTCTCTTACTCATATGATACACCTTTTAAAGGCCTGAACATCAAAGGCAGGGAACAGATAACAGTAGAGGAGGGCACTGATGAAGGTACAGTAAAGAAGATAGGAATACATCTGTTATATTTAGACCAGCATGGTAATGTTACATCTTTGCCGGGAGTTGTGGATCATTCTTATACACCCTCCTACCCACAAAGACTTTCAGCAGGGCATATCAACCCAAACAATAACAACAGTGAAATTCCACGAGTGAGGTCTGGAGCAGGGGATATCAACTCCTCCATGATAAAAGAGCAAAGTTCTGAGGGTGTATTCGGTACCAAGGAAAATGTGTTCGATGGAAAATGTTCTTTTTTTGGAAAATGTTTTTCCGGAAAATAAGTGGGTTTCTTACTTGTTTTCATTAGGTAAGAAAAAAGTCTATTCTAGAAGTATTTGTATATATAACAGTAAGTAGAAATGTTACAAGTGTTTGTATTCATTTTTTATAGGTGGATCCACCATGTATAGAATGCACAAAATCAATATTTGGTTGGCATTATGATCATAATATTTAATTTCTACTCCCTTTTTTCCTGAAAAAATACTATAAAAATGAAGTTGGAGCAGAAGAAATTGTATAATAAATAATTTGGGACTTACTCTCTTATATGTGGTGCTAGGGGAGTGCCCGTTCTCATTCTGTGAAATGTGCACAATTTTTTGCAGATGAAAAAGGTGATGGAACCATGCAATATGCATCATCTCTCGGGAATTTCAAGTAGTTTAAGCAGATGTTTATATGTGATATTTGAAAAAAATATGTATTTGGAAGTTAAAATTGTGTTTGGACTTTGGTGGACATGTAGAAGTTGGGAGAGGAAAAAAACTTTATGTTATTTAGATTTGAGCGGCAATAGTTTCCTCGATCTACCTTTTGATTTTTCAAAGTTACCATTGTTGACGTCCTTGTGTTTGAATGATTGTAAGAATCTTCAAACACTCCCGTCAATATCAAATTTAGAGTAACTTCAAATTGCCAAAAACTGGTCAAGATTACAGGGTTGGACTAGCTACCTCCCGTCAATAGAGAAGATGGACATGATTAATTAATTGTACTTCTCTGCAGAATCCATTCAATGAAGTCTTCTTTGGTGTCCATTCTCTATCAATTCCATCTATAAAGTATCCAATGCATAAGGTTAGTCCCTTTATTTTTCTCTCTCTCGTATCACATTATTAATTAATGTTCTTATTGTGTCTTGATTTGTGTGATGAAGCTGCATCTATCTGTTTCACTATTCCCACAGTACATAATAATAAGTTGTTAGGAATGGTTCTCTGGTTTGTTTGCGACTCTAAGATTTTATCAGATTTTGGACACTTCATTATTGTTGTATCCAATAAAAAGCCTTTAGTTTTTTTTTTTTACTGGACTAGGTATCCCGAATCACACGGGGAAGTATCATGTGTATATTACATATCTTGCTTAACTAAACATGGAAAAGATAACAGTCGAGGAGGGCCGTGACAAAGGTAGAGTAAAGAAGATAGGGGTACATCTGTTATACTTTGACAAACATGGTAATGTTACATAATATACCTGACAGTCAGGGAGAAGTATCATGTGTATATTACTTATCTTTCTCAAATGGTAGACCTTTTAAAGGCCTTAAGATCAAAGGCGGGGAACAGATAACAGTAGAGGATGGCACTGACGGAGGCATAATAAAGAAGCTAGATAGGAGTACATCTGTTATATTTAGATCAACATGGTAATGTTATATCTTTCCCCGCAGTTGTGGATCATTCTTATACTCCCAACCCACAAAGATAGATGTTTGATTTGGGTTAAATATAATTTTTTAAGCTGACAAAAAGTTGACAAGCAAACTATATATTGTAATAAATAGTATTCTTACAAGTGCTTTGAGATTATTGCTGCTTTGACGCATTTGTACAAGATTTTATGTGAACATTCCCTGGCCAATTGAAACAAACACTGTTAGCAACATCTCATACTATATCAATCATGAAATTTTCAGTGAAACGTTCTATAACGAGGTTTGACTGTACTTGTATAATGTTAAACCATCATCGTACGTTACGAGACATGCCACCCTTACCTACAAGGTGGAGCATTTTCATCAGACATGCTCAAATGCTACAAATCCATACGGATATGATGATCAAAATTGAATGACCGCGAAAGAAATTAAACAAATAGAAGCTAGAATGTCAAATGACTCACTAATAATGCATCAATCTCAGATAACTGAATTCCTTTGCTAAGGTAACTACTTACATAGCTTCAGAGTCCAGACCAAAACAGAACACAAGCAGGGGTAATTCAATGTCCAAATGTACTGCGGACTACCTCTGGAAACTCCCATTGTCACAACCCAAGTATATAACACGTGTTTTCCGCTTTGGCCCTACAGACCTAACGGATTTGTTCCTTGAGCTACGTCATGTTAGAGTCTACTAATAACCCGTGTACCATGTGAACTTCCACTGCAACCTTTTCAAACACTTTACTTTCACTTAAGATGTCATGTGCGATGGGTAGGAAGAAGGGAGGGGAGAAAATCAGGTGTCACACACCTCAAACCATGTTGTAGTCCCACATCATTTGTTGGATGGAACGTGGAGTACTGCTCTTTATATGACTTTGGGCAATTTTCTCCACATGAGGTAACTTTTTAGAGTTAAGTTAAATCCAAATGAAAATGACATGAATGAGTCAAACTTATAACATATGAGATATTTTAGGAATTTGCTTAAAAATAAAAAGGGTCAAATTCAAGATGCAACTACAACAACTAGATTGCACTAACCCAACACACAAGGAGCAAACGATGAATTGTGAAGATAAAGTATCAAGGAAGGTTGTGTGCTCTAACACCTTTGATGCCTTAATGATCAATTCCGATCAAGAGCTCCATGCATTGTCCACTCCAATTCTTCAAGTTTCTAATCCAAAAACTACTAGAATAATCAAGGAGTCATATGCCACAATGTTGAATGAAGAAAACCCAATGGTCAAACCACCTATGGCAACAATCAACACCTCGAATCATGATGTTCCTAATTCTCCATC